AAGCTGGGGACACTCTGCCCGCCGGGTGCCACTCCCGCCTGCAGCCGCGTGTGTTATTAGAAGGCGTGGGGCGGGGGCGGGCTCCTGGCAGCAGCCCTGGGGTGAGGAGCCAGGCGACGGCGGCGGCGGTGACCCTGCGGTGGTGACCTGGCGGCCAGACGGTGGCGCAGGGGCCAGATAAGGTTCTTCCGGCTGAGTCAGTGCGGTTCCTGGGGTTGGCACGGGCCAGGGCACAGTGCCAGGGGCTGGCGAGCAGTCGCCCTCCTGTGCCCGCCGCAGCCCAGCTGGCTGGGCGCCAGCAGCCACAGCTGCTTTGATGAGGCGGCGCTGCCCGGCGAGGGGCTTCCCACCGCTGCCCCTACCCTATGCCCGGGCTGGGCAGCCACCGGCTCTAGGCCCACTGGACAAACACACCTCGTCTTGCACATACCCGATGGCACCACCAGCAGCACCCTCTGCCTGACCTCTACAGGGTGGTGCCCTCTGCCCAGCATACCCAGCCCCGCTGGGAAAACTTGGAGCCCCTCCCCCCCGCCTCTTCGCCTCCTGCCTGGACCACGGACCGCTCCGCTCTGCCTGCAGCATCCTCCTGGCGTCCCTCTCCTTCCCCGGCTGCACAGCACCCTACCAGGGCTCCTAAATGCTCTTGCAAACTCTTCCATAACCCGCAAAGCCCCAGTTCCAATGCCCCGTATTTCTTTAGCAGCTTCCCCTCAATCCTCAGAAATGAGCACAGTTCGGGCTCTAACCAGCCTGGGGGTCTCTGTGGTACAAGAAGGAACATGTCTGCCATCTCTTCCCCACCTCCCACCCAACACAGCCCCGGCAGCAGGAAGTTCAAAGTGCTTGTTTACTGGGAAGAACAGAGGGGCCCCGATCACCACGGCACCTTGAAAAAAATCCACCTGCTCAGAACATCCTGACCTGGGAGGGCGGCACAGCGGGACAACTGGAGAAAACCTAAGAGAACAGCAGAGCTGGGGGAGGCCGGCCAGGCCAGCGCGGAGGTCACATCTCCCAAGACACCACTATCCCATTTTTAGGTGTGAGGAAAAGGCCTCCAGCCGCCTTGAAGAGCTGCAGTTTTTCCTGTCTGCAACAGTGCTGTCTAGTGCTCCTTCTAGAATCAACAGTGGATTTTCAAACTGTCCCTACTGAGTCAGGCTTGGTAGCACGCACCTGTCATCCCAGTATTCAGGAGGCTGAGGCAGGAAGATGGCAAGTTTGAGTCTAGCCTGGGCCTTCACACTGAGCGACATTCCCAGCCCTTGTTACGTTTTGATCTTGAGAGAGGGCCTTGCTAAATCACTAAGTTGCCCAGGCTTGGCTAGAACTTGCTATCCTCCTGCCTGAGCCTCCCACAATGCTAGTATTACAAATGTGTATCACTGCCCCTAGCTACAAATAATTCTGCATTTCTGAGTTCAGCCACAAGGCACATGGTGTACAGGTTTCCCCTCAAAAGCCAGGAAAAATTCCAACACTTAGTGCAGATTAGCAACACAGTCAGATGCCACTGGGTCCCCAGCAGCACAACAGTCACCAGAATCTAAATGTCAGCAGGAGCTGGAGAGGTCGTGGAAGACAGCAGCACACACACCCACACCCAGGGCTAGTGGGCATGAGGACGGCGCAGCCCACTGGCTGCTTCCATAGCAGGTAAATACGTGATTAACATCCTACCTAGCAATGCCACAACTACATTCACACCTGAGAGAAAAGAACTCATAGGTCCACAGGGAAACTTATATCACACAGCAAAGCACAAAGGTACAAACAGCCTGCATACTTATGCATTCACAAATGGTCCAGCATGGTCCATCTGAACACTGGAATATTACTCAGCCAGGAAAATGAGTGAGGCTGTGACACTCCCCAGCATAGACAGACGGACCTTGAGGACACTGGGCTCAGGGAGACACCAGACAGAAGGACACACAGTGTGGGCTCTACAGATTGCAAATGCCCAGGACAGGTGAATCCAGAAACAGGAAGTGGACTTGGAGGAGCTAGGGCTGGGAAGGGACAAGTGACTGCTCACGGGACAGATGGGGCTTCCTTTTGCGGGAATGAAGTGTTCTGAAACCCACAGAGATCTTTGTTGCAAACGTCCTGAAAAGCCACTGAATGACACACTTTCAAAATCAAACTGTGTAAGTGTAAATCAGATCTCATTTTTCTGAGTTGTTGAGATTCAAGCTTCAAGCCCCAAAACAGCTAAAGATCTCGGATTAGAGCTCAAAGCCGCACAATGGCCACTCCAGCACTCGGGCGTGGCCGTGTGGGTGACAGGAAGCCGCCAGGATGCACTCCCCGTGCCAAGATCCTAATCGCAGCCCATGACGCACCCAATCCCAGGCCAGGCCGGGAGCTCCTTCTCTGGGACGGGGGCTCTACCCTCCCCAGGCCCTTGATTTTCAGGGAGCTCAGCCCAGCTGCCCCACAAGCCTGCAGCCCACGGCAGAGTCTCCCAGCTGCATGGCGGAAGTGTCAGCCCCAGGCACCCCCCTCCGGAGGAGAAGCCAGAGACGGTGCCAAGCGGCGGCCGGCCAGGGCTGCCACGCGCCGGGAAGGGGTAGTGGGGCCAGCGCCAGAGTCAACACAGCCCAACATCTGCTGGGCTGGCGGGGCCCAGGCTGCTGTTGACAAGCCCAGCACTGATGCCCAGCCAGCTGGGTGGAGGGCAATGCCAGCCCCAGCTGGGCAGAGAATACAGTGCCTGGACTGCAGGGCCCGCCCCGTCTGCCCACAACATCCCGAAATCCAATCATCATACAACACCCACTTCCCAGACCAGACAGGCAACGGCATCCGGCCTCCCCACACCCGTGCCCCGCCCTCCCTCAGGACCAGGTGCCGCTGAGCTGTCTCCCCGGCCAGGTCACATCTCGGGCACACTGGCCTCCTTTTTGATTTTTTTGTGGTACTGGGATGGAGCCCAGGGCTTGCATATGGAGCTACATCCCTGACAGGGTCTCACGATGTAGCCCAAACTGGCCTTGAACTCAGTGATCCTCCTGCCTCAGCCTCCCAGAGTGCTGGAGTTACAGGCGTGCACCCCAAGCCTGGATTCCTGGCTCCTTTTTGGTGTTCAATACTCAGTTATAAATCTGAGGGGCCTTCCACTTCCCCACGCTGCTCCCCAGAACAGTCTCATCCTCGATCTCCTGGTGATCACTGACCTGTCGCCAACAGAGAGAAACTGAGGCACAGAGCATGGTGGAGCTGACGAGACAGCCAGGACCGCCCACTTGGGCCTCGGCCCAAGCTAGCAGCTGCGGCCAGGCATGGGCTATGGCCCAGTCACACCCAGGAGCGGTGACGTCTCTGTCCCGGCAGGTCCGCTGGCTGCCTGCCCACCTCACACCTCCACACCAGCACCAGGGGCTGGAAGGCGAGGCTGCCCCACCCAGCCTGGTGACATCACCACAGCTCCCAAGGGTTCCTCGAAACTCTCCCTCCTGATTCCTCAAAACTCTCCCTTCTGCCCCTGAGCCTTACTTGCGCTGTGCCCACCAGCTGAAGCACTGTCCCCGCCTCTGAAACTCCCGTCGCGAGCAATGGCACCATGTGCCCAAGTTCCAGCTACCTGTGGGTTTTATGACAGCCCACACTGAAGTCTCCCTGTCTCCTGTTTTTTTCTTTTCCACAGTACCAGGGATTGAACCCAGGACCTTCACACCGAGCTCCATCCTCAGCCCTTTGTGAGACAGAGTCTCAGTAAGTCACGAAGTTGCCCAGACTGGGGTGAAACTTGGATCCTCCTGCTTCAGCCTCACAGAATACTGGGGTGACAGATACGTGCTACCAACACCTGGCTCCAAACTTAAATCTCTTGATTGCTGACAAACTGCAATGTTCTTTTCCACCAAGCAAACACTGAGCGGGCCTCAGACCAGCGGGCCTCAGAAGGTAGAGCCTCCGGTGGCCCTGGCACCCCCAGGCCTGTCCCTCACAGCTATTGTGGGCCGCTGGAGTCCTCTGACCCTTGCCTGGGGCGACTGTGGCTGAGGCTCTGGTCCTGACTGGGGAGGCTGGCTCCTGCTGGTGGCTCCAGGAGGCCAGGCAAGGCCCAGCTGGCCAAGGGCTGGAATGTGAGCCCAGCCGGCCACCAGCCGCCATCTGCTTTCCATCTGTGCGGTGGACTTCAAAGGCTCCTCCGCCCGTCCGGCCACTTCCTCCGGCCCGGCCGCCCGCAGGGAAGGGCCAGGGCCGTCCCTGCTTCCTCCGCGACCCTCAGGGGCCCAGGAAGCTTCTGGGGTGATCCTGAGACTCCCTCCTGCTGGCCCTGCCCAGCCTCAGCCCCCCACCCAGCTGCACACGCCTGGCTCTTCTGAGGTTATATCCAAACGGCCACCAGCTGTCCCCAGGGCCACTGCCCAGGCTGGCACCACCATCTCCCACCTCCCGCAGCCACAGGAGCCACTCCGGTCACTTCAGTGCGGACACCACTCGCACAGACCCCCGTGAGCCCCATGTGACGAACAGGACACTCCGTCCCTGAGGCACCAGGCTCTGCCTCTCCAACTGTATTGGTGGCCAGAGGTTTTATTCTATTTAATTAATTAATTTTTACAATGCTGGGGATTAAACCAGGGCAAAGACTGAACTACTTCCCCAGCTTTTTTAAATTTTAAGCCACTAAGTTGCACAGGCTGGGCTTGAATTTGGGATCTTTCTGCCTCAGCCTTCCAGAGAGGTGGGATGACAGGCATGCGCCACCGCGCCCGGCACCCACCGGCCTTTGAGAAAGCGATTTCCCTCCGCAGATCTGCCTCTCCAGCTGGTCACCTCAAAGTCACCTCCACCCATCCTGGGGTGCGAGAGGCGGAGCTCCACCTACGTGTCCTGGGTCACAGTCTTTATCACCTGGGCCACCCCAGCTACGCACAGAAATCTTAGTGGTGGCTCCCCAGAAGCTATGCGCCAGGGTCAGCTCAATCCACGCTGGCAGGGACAATCTGAGGGTCGTGGGACCCCAGCAACGCCGCAAGGCTCACCTGCTTGAACTGCTCCTCGTACGTCCAGTCCCCATGGTCGGGCGGCTGCAGCTGGGGGGCTACGTGGGCGGCCCCTCCAGGGTGCACAGGGCCAGGTCCCGGCCGCTCAGGGCCACCTAGCGCCCTGGGGACGCCATCTCCGCGGAAGGCCTGGGCTGGCGGGGCCTTGCGGGGGAAGAGGCCTGCAGAGCCCAGGCCTGGGGGTCCTGGGGGGCCCAGCCCCTCTTCCTCCTCCTCCTCTTCCTCCTCCTCGAAGTCCTCTTCCTCCTCCTCGTCCTCGTCCTCGTCCCCCATGTCCTCCTCGAGCTCCTCCTCCTCCTCCCACTTTTGCTTCCTGCAGTGGACACGGAGCACCAACCCATCAGGGGACAGGGTGCAGCCTGTCCTGGCACCAGGGTACGGCCTACTGCCTGTCCCAGCCTCAGTTTCCCCTTCTAAAAGTAGCAGGTGCTCACGTGCTCAGGCTATGCAACCCCAAGCACTAGGGTTATCGAGGACATTTGTTCTGTTGCCAACACCCCAGAACAAGGTGGCCTGTCCTGGGGCACAGATCCCAGCTCCCACCCTTCCACGCTCCTGTCCCACATCCCAAATCGTCAAGCCGTTCCTGCCCCACGGCCTTTGCACAGACTGCTTCATGCTCCACGCTCCTCAAACTCACAGAACTTTGCACACCACTGATCAAAAGCCCAGCCCCTCTCCAAAGCACCATGATGATTTTCTCTGCCACCCACTGAGCCCAACTCACATGTCATCATCGGAGCCCATGTCCTCAAAGTGTCCATCTCCTTCCAAGTGTCCCAGCCCCTCCTTGCCTCGGCCAGGTGAGCTGGGAGCCCCCTCCTGGTCCATGTCCTCGTCCTCCGAGCCAGGAGGACCATCCTCAGAGCCGCCACCAGGGCTGGGAGGGTGTCCAAGGCCCGCGGCGGCAGCCCTCATGGCAGCCAGCGCGGCCATCTGTGCCCGCTGCATGCGGGCACTGTCAGGCTCTCTGTCCTCATCAGGGGCGGCCCGTACTCGGCCTGTGGATCCCGGGGTAGGGGTCTCGGGCGCTGGCGGCTGCTGCCGGGCCTCCAGCTCCTGGTGTGCACGTTGCTGCCGTTGCAACAGGGTCTCCATCACCGCCTGCAGCTTCATGGCTCTGCGGGCTGGGCCGCCACCCCGGACAGCTGGGGCAGGTGGCGGGGGCGGCCCCTGCGGGGAGGGAGCCCGGCCACACTGCAGCGTGGGGGTCTCGGGGGAGCCGGGGCAGTGCAGGGTGGCGGGGCGCGGGGGCGGGGGCCGCCGGCTCAGGCTGAAGGCTGGCAGGGCATGCCCGTGGCGGACAGCTAGGGCCCTTCTCACACCGGGCGCCAAGGGCCGATAGCTGGTGTCTGGCTCATTCACGGGCTCGCAGAAACCTGGGAGGGGGGTGGCAAGACAGAGGTGATGAGACCACAGCCAGCCCCACTGGTCCCAAGAAAAACCACAAAGGCTCATGGGAGATTCCCTGGCACCTGCTCTGACAAGGATGCACACCGGGTGGCCTCCCTGGAGGCGGAGGGGAGCGTGGTCCCCATCCCTCCACTGGCCGCCCACTTGCGGGACTGAGTAACAGGGCCACCCCACTGAGCCTCAAGGGGTCTCAGGGCCACAAGCAAACACACTGTTACCACCTGGGCCACCCAGCAATCCTGGGTTATCTATTGCTTCACAAGGAAAGTGGTGGGACCTAGCGTTCCTGGATTCTGATTGGCTACAGTGAGTCAGTTCCAGACCCTGGAATCCAACTGTGTTCTGGGGTCTGATTCCAAGTTCTAGGTGCCGCCCATGCCCATGTTGGAGCAGCATGAACCAGAGTCCCCTGGGTACCTCCTTTTCCTCTTTCTCTCTTGCAATACTGAGGACTGAATCTACAGCCTTTGCGCTTAGCTATATCTCCAGCCCTTTTTATTTTGAGACAGGTCTAAGTTGCCCAGACTGAGTTCCAACTTGCGATCCTCCTGGCTCAGCTTCCCACAGTGCTGGGATCACAGGCATGTGCCATCATGCCCTGCTCCTCTTTTCTGATTAACAGATAGCCCGAATTGAGCGCTTGCTGTACACCAGCCCTGAGCCTACACCCCCTCCCCAAACCGGTACCTCACCCTCACAGCAACACCTACAGGCTGGTCCCTCTGGGCCTCCGTCTTCCCATCAACCAAAGGGTGCCAACACTCACAGGCAAGGGGGAGGGGATAGAGGGGCTCATGATCCCAAAGGTGGGTACAAAACAGGTGACACACGGCAGTTGGGGACTCCCCGTTTTGACAAAGGGGGAAACAGGCCTGGCTAGTCTTGCAGGCCGATGGACACCTGTGTTAAGTGAGGTCAGAGCCTCCTATGCTGGCTCCGTGCTCTGCAGGGCAGTAGGGGTCTGCAGTCTAGTTCTGGGGGGACCCAAGTGGGGCAAACGTCCCACAATGCAGTACTACGCTGCTCTGCCCTCCCCAGGGACCTAGGCTTCCTCAGGTCACTGCCACCTCCATCTGCCCAGGGTGCCATCGAGATGTCCCAGGACCTGGCAGAGACCATCACCAGCACAGAGTAGGGAAGAGGGCAAGGACAGGAGGGTGCAGGAGGCTGCCCCTAACCCTGACCCGGCAAATGCACCCAGAGTTCACACAGGACGAGAGGGAGGGAGGGGAGGACGGAAGGACAGGCGACAGGCTCCAGCCGAAGGGGATCCTGAGCACTGGCCACACTCTGGACCCCCTGGTGACCATCCCCACAGAGGGGACTCTTGCACTGCACATGTCAGGCCTCCTCAGTCACAGACAGGTCCCCTCCCCAGACTCCTTTTGCCCAGGTTGGGTAGAAGGGCAGTTGGGGGAGCCAGGAGGTGGCCTCAGGGGAAGGGGGCAGAGCACATCCCTACTGGCCTTGGTGTCCCCTCCTGTCCAGCAAGGGCAGAGGTCCCAGGGCACAAAGACCCAGGGAGCTTTGTCCTCTAAAGATCACAAAAGAAGCACCCAGTGCGCCCCCATCCCCGGGCTGGGAGCTGCTGGTCACCGGCCACCACTCGACCCAGGAAACGCTGAGGGGACATTTCTGGCCCAGTCTGGCCTGGCTGGCCGCCCCTCCCCCACCTTTGACAACTTCAAGATGAGCCCCCCCCTCACGGAAACGCTGCGGGCGACGCCCCCTGTTCGGTGGTGGTGGTGGTGGTGCTGGTGCTGGTGCTGGTGGTGGTGGGTGGGGGGCAGAAGGAAGAGGCTGGAGGAAGCCGCTCCTCCCTACTGCCCCTCCTCGAGGGCCCGCTGCGTTTAATGACCCTTCCGGGTCGCCGGGTGGGGGAGGGGTTCGGGACAGGCCTCTCCACGTTGGAGCTGGCGGAGGGGAGGGGGCAGGTGGGAGCGCCAGACCACCTCCCAACCCAGGACCAGGCCTGGGCTCCCCCATGGGCGCAGATATCCCGAAGCTGTCGACGCCCACCCCTGCAGACCCCTCCTCCCCCGGAGCCCTTTGTCCTCCGCCCCCACCCCTACTTTATGACAGCCCCATGGAGAGGCAATGCCAGGCGGGGACTGGGCAGGGTGGTCGCCTGGACAGACTGGAGTGGGGGCTGGGGACCCAGGGCCACACCCTCCTGCCCCCCCCAAGCCTTGGGAGAGAGAGGTCACCCGCTCAGCCGGGCCTTGCAAAACACGGTTATTTAAAGAGTTGTGCAAGGCTGGGGCCCGCGGGTGGCGAAAGAGGCCCCCTCACTCCACACAGGGAAGAGCGGGGGGAGGGGAGCGAGGAGCGCAAAGCTTGGGAGGGGGCTGAGAAAGTGGGGCGGGGCGGGGGCTCCCCCCAAGGAAGTGAGACTACCAAAACCAAAGAAGCAGCAACAGCAAAAGATGATAAAAACCCCGTCCGGATTTCAAAGGCTTCTTGGAAAGCGGCCGATTTGCATGGGGACAGGGAGGAGGGGGGACCCCAGTGGCCCGAGCGGCTAAAAACGGAAGATATTTGACAAACCCGCCGCCGGGGCCGGCGCGAACGTTGGAGTTGACACACGGGCGCTCCCCCCGCTTCCTGCGCCCGCTTTTGTGTCCTGGGGTGTGGGGAGGCGCTAGTGCTGGGGAGGGGGCTCTTCCTGGGAACCTCCGCCCGGGGAGCCGGCAGAGCGCACCCGGAACGCGGGTCCGCTGTGTGAGCCGGGGTGGCCACTTTCTAAGTGAACGCACCAGGCTGGGGAGGGGCTCCGGGAACTACCCACCTAGGGGCGCGCAAATACACACCCGGTTTGGGGGCAAAAGGAAAAAATAGAAAAAGAAAAGGAAAAGAAGAAGAAGAAATAAGCCCGGGGAGCGCAGACCCCGCGCGTGCGCGCACAGAGCGTATTTCCTTCCGCCGGGTCCGGGGAGCGCGCGCCCGAGACCCCCAAGCGCCCGGAGCGTCTCTGCGCACTTGGGTACCCGAGGAGGTCCTCGGGGTCCGGCGCAAGGGACGGACGATCACCCCCAACCGCGACCGACTAGAGGAGCTTGCCCAGGCCCGAGCGCCCCCAGCCGCGTCTCAACCTAACTTTGGAGACCCCACCCCCACCCCACTGTTGGGTTTCCAGAGCGCAGAGCGCGCAGCTCGGAGCCGGAGCGCGCCGCAAACGGCCTTACCGCGCGCGGCGGCTCGGGGGGCGCATGCCCGGGGCCCGGCCTCCCCACCTTCCCCCGCCTCGCCGGCCTCCCCCGGCGCCGGTGCGCGCTGTAGGATCCCGGCCACCCGCCGGGTTCCTGCTGAGCGCGCCGACTCACCAACTCGCCAACCCCGTCCGCGTCTACACCCCCATCCGCCCGGATTGGTACGAGGCTCCCCGCGCGCGGCCGGCCCCCCGCCCCGCCCCTCCCCCACCCGGCGCTCACCGCCCCGCAGACAAATCACCGGGTGACGAATCGCTCTCAGATGCAAATACCTCGCCGGTGATTCAGCGTGGTGGGCCCGGGACACGGGAGGGGTCTCGCGAGGACCCTTCCTCTTTCTCCAGACGCCCCCCACCCAGCCCCCCTACCAATCTCCCGCGCTCGGGCGGACGACGCGCAACGAAGGCTAAGGGAGGCTGGGGAGGGGGGAAAGAGAGCCGACGGAAATTTTCAGGTCGCGGCCCCTTTAAATGATAATAAATAATAAAAGGGAAGGGGAACGGCGCCGAGGGATGCCCCGCCCCCTGCCCTAGGGAGCGTAGGCAAAGTGCGCGCGGCGACTTGGAGCGCAGAGGGCGCCAAGGGCAAGGGCGGGGCTGGGACGGTCGGAGGGGTCTAGTGTCCTGGCAAGGGGGGAACCGGAAACAGACCTTGGCGCCCTGGGGTGGGTGGCCTGGAAATCAACTTGGATCCTAAACTTTTTCCCTATCTTACCTGTTTTAAAATGAGCTACGGGGCTTGGAGTTGCACCTCCGCCCCTTGGGCCGGGACACCCGGAGAAAGTGATTTCACTCCCCGGCCTCTGTTTCCACGTCTGTGAAATGGGCGTGAAGACCCGGAGAGAGCTGAGTTGTGAGGACAGCGGGACTGCAACAAGAGGCGACGAGAAGGCGGTGGGAGGGAAGGAGCCAGGCCCTGCCCGTGGGGAGGGTGGGGGAGAGGGCGCGGCCGCGGGCGGGGCTCTGCTCACGCAGGGCGCGGGGTGGGGGTGGGGGTCCCCGCGGGGAATCCCGGCGACCCCAGCTGTCACCACCCCTGGGAGCGCGACACCCACGAATGGGAGAGGAGACACGAGGTTGGAGGATCCTCTTCCAAACAATGATGTAGATGGGCGTGGCGGTGACACAAGCCTGACATCCCAGCAATGTGGGAAGCTGAGGCAGGAAGATCACAAATTCGAGCCCAGAGCCGGCAATTTAGTGACTTACTGAGACCCTGTCTCAAAATAAAAAATGAAGCCAGCATTGGTAGTTCGGTGGAGAAATTCTCAAAATAAACAATACAAAGAGATTGGGATGAACCTCTGTGTGGAGGCCCAGAGTCCATCCCTAGTACAGCCAATAGTAGAAGGACGAGGAGGAGGAGGAATAGTAGTAATAGCAATAAGAGTAAGAATAAAAGCGCTACTGCCCGTGCTGTGTGCTGCATGCATGATGCTCTGAACTCTTCCACCCGCACCTCTGCTTCCCCGGCGCCTCCTGTTCTCCCCATTTGTACTGTGCGGAATGAGGAACCGCAGGTGCAGTGCAACAAAGAGGGGGGCGGTAGAGGCTCCAGGAGACCCGGGGCCACCCGCAGCCTAGATAGGGCCCTTGGGAATACAGGGGCACAAGGGCTGTCCGGAGGGACCCCAGGGGTGCAGCTCGGGACCCTGGCTGGCGCCCGGGGGTGGTGGGCAGCGCCCCCACAGCACCTTCACCCTCTGCGGGACCACCCACAGCTCGCAGAGCCAGGCTCCGGGGATGCTGCTCACTTGCTGCCAGCAGCCCAAGGCCAGAGTCCTGCCAGGAAACTCAGGCCTCGTCCCCAGGGCCCCGCAGCCTAGAAGTCACAGGTGCCTGAAAACCTCCACCTCTAGGCCATTAGACACCAGGGCTGGCTGGGGGTGTGGCTCAGCGGGGGAAGCACCTGTCGAGCCAGACAGTAGCCCTGGCTTCTTCCCCAGGATATCTCAATCTCCCTCTCTCTTTCTCTCTGTCTCTGTCTGTCTGTCTCTCTCTGTCTCTCTCTCTCTCACACACACACACACACAGAGGACCATCTAAACAAACAATTCCAATCAGGCAAGGTGGCACAGGCCTGTCATTACAGCACTCTGAAAGGCTGAGGCAGGAGGATCTCAAATAGAAGCCCAGCCTGGGCAATTTAGTGACTTAGTGAGACCTAGTGTCTCAAAAAATAAAAACAGGGGTGGGTGTAATTCAGTGTGAAGGCCCTGGGTTCAATCCCCAGCACTACAAAATAAATAAATAGCCAGGTGCCAGGTGTGGTGCCACAAGTCTGTAATTCTAGCACTTGGGAGGCTGAGGCAGGAAGACTGCCACAAATTCAAGCCCTGCCTAGGCTACGTAGTGAGATCATCTCAAAATACCAATAAATAAGTAGATATTTTGTAAAAACCCAAAGAAGAGGCAGGAACACCCGCCCCGCCAGGACACAGGCATTTTAGAAGCCTTCCTGGGTAAGAGACTGAGGAAGCCAGGCCCGGTCTTAGGTCTCTAAGATGCAGTAAGGTAAAGCTGCACAGACCAGAAATCCCCCGACTCTGGGGGTGGGGGATGCACTTTTCTGTACCTCAACTTCCCCCTCTGCAAAATGGGGGGCTATCAATTCACCTCATATGTAGGGGCTTTGGGGATTGTTCACAGGGAAGGGGGCAGGGTGGGAGTGTATGGACATGGTGGGGCAGGACAGGAGGGGGACATGGCTGTCCCCTACCTGTGTTGCTGCCACTCTCTGGGAGGGAGGCCCTCCGGCCCAGGCTGCCTGCAGGCAAGATCCTATTTTTGGCTCAGGGAATTTTCACACAGACTGGGTGGGCAGCTCCGATTATCGGGGATACCCATGTTGGGAGGCCCGCAGCAGTACGAATTTAAGTTAGTGCAGATTTGTCTGCCTCCAGCTTTCAAGCTGTGAAATGGGTACAGTGACCCCAGCCCAGGGAGTTGTGGGGCCCTTGTGGATTCAGGATGCCTCCCCCACACCCCCCAAAAAGTCAGCCTGATTCTCATGGACCCCTTCTCCACTGAACCCAGTCTCACCGTCCCTCAGCTGCAGAGGCCACGTTTTTACAAACCAGCCAGATCCCATCCTCAAGTGAAGCTGGGCGGTGGTCCCACACCTGCCATCCCAGCACCTCTGAGAGGCTGAGGCAAAGGATCCCAAGTGCCAGGCTAGCCTTGACAACTCAGCAAGACCCTGTCGCAAAATTAAAAAAAAAAAATTTAAAACGGCTTAGTGCAAAGGCGCTGGGCTCCACCCCCTGTAGGAGGCGGGGAATGCCCACCTCCCCAATTCTTGTGTTCCCCTGAAACACGTTTCCAGCTCAGCTTTGTAGGACGCATCCCCCTGCCTGGCCCCTGGCCTGGCCTTCCTGCCCGGGCTCAGCCCTGCTGACCGCCCTGTGTCAGGGCCTCCTCCCCCATGCCCTTGGTATCTTTATTTTGAAACAGCTGTGTTTATTTAGACCCCTCTGCCTGCCTCACAGTTTTGAGGGCAGAGCTGCTGAAGAAGCTGGAACGAATGCACTTGGACCATTTCTTTCTCCCCGGCTTCTGCTTGTCTCTCTACACAGAGGGCTCCAAAATAGTTTTAAAAAACAAAATAGAGACAAGTTTGGCACACACCTGTAAGCCCAGCTCTGGGGAGACTGAGGTAAGAGGATCACTTCGAGTTTGAGGCCAGCTTGGACTACAGAGCGAGCTTAACACCAGCCTGAACTACATAGCTAAACCCTATGTCAACAAACAAAACCAGAGGGGATGGTGGGTCCACCTGGAAGCCCAAGCCTCTAAGACTACGGCGCCATCCATAAATTGAATCTACTGATGCAGGAGGCTCGGAGCCCACAGAAATACAATTTTAATTTCTTTTAAAGTAAGCGAAGCCTGGAGTGGTGGGGCGCTCCTGTAATCCCAGCACGGGGGAGGCTGAGGCAGGGGGATCATCACAGGTGTGAGGCCAGCCTGGGCTACAAAGTGAGTTCAAGGCTAGCCTGAACTGCATAGTGAAACCCTGTCTCAAAGAGACAAAACAAAATGAAAAGAAGGGAAAACAACCATAAGTGCGCAGGACCTGGGAAATTCATAATGAGACCCTAAGTGCCGCTCGGTACAGCACGGATACTTCCACCCCTGTCCGGCTTAGGGTACGAATGAGTGGCGCCCCAGCGTAGGGTGGAGACACGGAAGCGACGAGGCTGTGCAGGGTGCGCACGCCACCTGCAGGGCGTTCACTGGGGGCGGAGGCGGGTGGGTGGGCCTGTGCTGGGAACCACCAGGTGGCGCAAGATCACTTGTAAAACGACTGTTCCAACCTGGAGCGGTGCATGCCTATAATCCCAGCACTCTGGAGCCTGAGGCAGGAGGATCGCCTGGACTGAGACAGTTCACAGACAGTTCAAGGCCAGCCTGAATTACATAGTGAAACCCTGTCTCAAACAAACGAATAAACAAGCAACACCATTGTAAGTCGACGAGGGAGATATCTGAGGCCTGCAAAATCTTCTCCTGTTCCCCCCTTTTTTTTCCCTGTTGTACTTGAGATTGAACCCAGGGCCTTTGCACTGATAAACATCCCTGGCCATTTTTTATCTTTTGTTGCTCCCATCCAGAATCGAACTCAGGGCTGCTTTCCAGGCAAGCCTGGCGCCACTGAGCTATATCCCCGGCCATTTCTTGTTTTTTTTTTGTTTGTTTGTTTTTGTTTTTGTTTTTGTTTTTCCGGTACCCGGAATCAAACTCACGACCTTGCACTTGCCAGGCAGGTGCTGTGCCGCTGAACTAAATCCCCAGTCCCTACCTGTTTTTTGTTCTTTGAGACAGGGTTTCCCTATGTAGTTCACTGACCTTGAACTCACTTCGATCACCAATTTCAATTTCCCAGGATTATAGGTGTGTGCCACCACACCCAGCTCTGTTTCCATTTCTTTTTTTCTTTTTCTTTTTCTTCTTTTTGAGGTAGTCTCCCTATGTAGTCCAGGCTGGCTTTGAACCCTTGGGAATCCTCCTGCCTCAGCCTCCCCAGTGCTGGGATTACAGGTTTGTGCCACCACACCTGGCCCTCGTGTTTCATTTTTAAAATTTGTTTTTCTCAAAAAAAAAAAAAAAAAAAAGCCAAAAGATGTCCTTGGCCTCAGGAAAACAGAACATGTACTATTTTCTATACTCAAAAAAAAAAAAAAAAAAAAAAGACCCTGTCAGTCCCTCTGCACATATGGCCACACACTTGGGTTAATCATCCTGAGAACAGGTATCTAGTCCTACTGTGCAGCTGACCCTGGGCACACAGTGGGAAGCTTGACAGCCCTGTCCCTGGTGGGGACACACAAGGCAGTCAGACCTGTCATGTGGTGGCACTGAGCAGGCACAGGGTACGCTCCTAGCCCAGGCTGGAGAGGCCCCGGGAGGGCTTTCTGGAGGCAGAGGCAACTGAGCCCAGATGCCAGGTATAAGTGAGCTTCAACCAGCCTGGCACAGAGCAAAGGGCTTGAGCAAAGCCCAGAGACAAACAGGACCCAGGGATCAGACAGGGGTGTGGGCAGGATGGGTGAGTAGAGGAGAGAACTCCAGGCTTGTGTGCAGCACAGTCCAGGGGTCCACTCTTTTTTGGAGGTGCAGAGCCCAGGGTCTTCTCACAGAGCTACACCCCAGCCCTTTTTATTTTGGGACAGGATCTTGATAAATCATTAAGTTGCCCAGGCTGGACTTGAACTTGCAGTCCTCCTGCCTCAGCCTCCCAGAGTGGAGACCAAAGCTGCCTCTAGTTTCCTGGGAGAGCACCCAGGCACCGAGCTCAGGATCCCGTGATCAGAGGAAGAGCCACGCTGAGAGGTCACTCACAGAATCCTGGGGCACAAGAGAACAGTACTGTGGTTTTGGTTTTGGTTTTGTTTTGTTCTATTTTGCTACGGAGCTGGGGATGGAACCCAGCACCTCCTGCATGCTAAGCACCTGCCATGCCACTGAGCTGCAACCCAGCCCCTGCTGCTCTGTTCTGGGGTGATTTCTTAGGGAGCAATTAATCCCTTGTGTGGATAGGTCTGGGTGCCACGGTCCAGATCAAAGTGATGATGATGATGATGATAATAATTTTGCAGTAGTGAGGATGAAACCAGGGCCTTTGCACTGAGCCACACTCCGAGTCCTTTTCATTCTTTCATTCTGTTAAGACAGAGTTTTGCTAGGTTGCTAACTTGCCCAGGCTGGGATGGAACTTGAGACCCTCCTGCTTCAGTTGCCCAGAGTGCTGGGATGACAGGTGTCACCACCCCCAAGACAGGACTGATTTTTTTTTTTTTTTTTTTTTGGTCTTTTTGAGACAGGGTCTTTCTATGTAGTTCATGCTGACCTTGAGTTCACTTTGTAGCCCAGGCTGGCCTCAAACTCCAACAATTCTCCTGCCTCAGCCTCCCAAGTGCTGGGATTACAGGTGTGGGCCACCAGGCGTGGCCATGGACTGATTTACATAAGGACACCCACTGTTTCCCTATCCCAGCCCAGATGCTCCCCTGATAGCAACAGGAACCCTTTGTGTCACCGTTCAAGATGTGCATTTCCCCCCACATTTTAATATCTCTAAAAGTACTTGGATCTTAACAACAGTAGAGTCAACCATAGACAGTGTGTGAAAACGTCTGACCCCTTATGAAAGATCCAGTGTGTCTCACTGCTGGCACATCGGTTTGACGAATCTCAGAAATGATCATTACAATCTCAACAGCAAACATCAAATAAAATAAAGAAATAAAAAAATAAATACTATCTTAAAAAAAAAACAGCAAACATCACGATAAACTGGTGCCAAGCGCAACATGTGGACGCGACATTTTCACTGATTATCTGGGACAAGAATAAAAATATAAATAACAGGATAATAATCGTTGCACAACCGGCCTCAGGGGCACAGGAGGCTTCCCAGAGCCTGCTTGGAGAGGAGCAGCGAGCTTCCCTAGGACGCACAACCCGCGCGGGCCTGGCGCCGCTCCCGGGCCTCAAAGACTTGGTAGGGCCGGGTGGGCGCACAGGCGGCGCAGCTCCGCGTTGGGGGCGCCGGGGTCGGAGGGCGCAGGCCCACGGGGCCGACGCTGGCGTCCTGGGGCGCACGCGCACACGCGGCGGAAGGCCTGGCGAAAGCGGGAGCTCAGGAAGGCATAGAGCAGCGGGTTCAGCGCCGAGTTGCTGTAGGACATGCAGTGCGCCCAGGTCTTGAGCGCATATGCTGCGTAACTGCGCGGGTGCCACGCGCCGGCCGGGCCCAGGGCCTGCAGCACCAGGAACAGCTGGATGGGTCCCCAGCAGGTGGCGAAGAGCAGGACCACGGCTGCCACCAGCCGGGACACCTTGGCACGCACGGCACCCGCACGCTGGGCCAGCAGCCGCTCCTGGGTACGAAGGAGCGGGTTAGAGGGAAGGGCGGGTCAGGCCCACGCTGTCGCTGTCTGGCTCCCCCCGCTACGTTTCCAAACTCCGCGTCGCCCTGCCGGGCTGCAAACCTGGAAGGTGCCGTCGGTGGGCGCAGGGCGCACGGCGGCGCGGCCGAGGTGGCGGAGCATGGCCCCGTAGCAGGCGCAGGTGGCAGCGAGCGGTAGCAGGTAGAGCGCGAGCAGGTTGTAGACCGCGAAGGCGCGCTCCAGGGCGTGGCTGGGGAAGGCCTCGCTGCAGTAGGTCCGCGGCCCCGGGGAGAGGCGGTGCAGGGCGAGCACCGGGGCAGACAGGGCCGCCGAGCCTAAGCCACGGGCCAGGATGAAGATGCCGCCTGCCGGGGGACAGAGCGCGCCGCGCGCCTAGGGTCCCCCGGGCTGCATTCACTGCGCGCCTGCTAAGGGCCACGCGCCTCTATTCCCTGACACAGGGGATGGAACATAGGGTCTTTGCCTTGAGCTACATCCCCAGCCCCCCTTTTTTCCCCACCCCTTTTATTATTTTTTATTTTGAGACACGGTCTCCCTAAATGGCGTAGGTTGGGTTCCAACCTAAGATCCTTCTGCCTCGCCTTCCCAGAGCCCTGGGATTACAGGCTCCCAGGATTCCCTCTTTGGTCCCTGGGTGAGCCTCCACAGGGAACCCTCATGCACCCATTTTCCAGATGCCCGCCTGAGGCCAGGGAGGGAGTAACCCCGGGCACGTAGTGGACCTGTCCCCTGCGCCTCCCGCGGCTGCACTCACCCACCCAGATGCCCAGGCTGATGGCCAGCGCCAGGCGCAGCGTGCGGCGGTGCAGGGCGCGCAGCGGGAACACGGTCACATACCAGCGGTCCACGCTCATGGCCGTCAGGGTGGCGCACGTGGCCTGCACAGAGACCTAGAAAGGTGGGGAGCCGGCGTAAACTCCTTCCTTGTGCCCTGTGTCCCCCCCACCTACCCCGGTTGGACTGCTCCGGTACACACAGACCGTGCCCCAGGAGCGGACTTGAGCTGTTTATCTGCTCCTCCCATTCCTGACCCACCACCACACCCACCGCCACAACGAGCATATTTCCATGGAAACTCAGGCCCCGCCCCGCCTAGACCCGCCCCTCGCTGGTTTCCTAGCTGGATCCCCGAGTCCAGCGCTCGCACCTGCTGGATGTAGTTGACGAATTTGCACATGAAGTCGCCCAGCACCCAGGTGGGCAGCGGGTACAGGAGGGCCGTGAAGGGGACGCAGCACACCAGGAAGATCACGTCGGTGGCCGCCAGGTTGGCTGCAGGTTTGGAGGGGGAGGTGGACATGGGGCCCAGCCTCCCTGGCCTCAGGCTCATCCCAGTGACTGCCTGCACACCCTGGGCCAGAGAAGTTGGCATGCCCTCTACTCAATAGCACGGGTTCATAGGCTCTCTGGTAGAACTGCCCTCCACCCTAGTGGTGCAGAGGACGGAACCCCAGGCTCCCACACCCTGGGCAAGCGCTCACCACCGAGCCGCACTCCCTGCCCCGGCACTGAGTACTCTGCTTGATTCTGAGCCTCACTTTCCTTTCCCAAACTGAGGACAGCAGCCGAGCATGATAGTACACGCCTGTAATCCCAGCACTAGGGAGGCTGAAGCAGGAGGATCGCCGTGAGTTCAATCCCAGTCTGAAGTACATAAGAGAGACCTTATCTCAAAAAAAGGGGCGGGGGGAGAGTGGCATAGCCCCGGAGTCACCACAGAAGGAACACTGCACGTACCCCTGCACACTAGTGCACAAAGGCGCCACCTGAGGCTCAGAGAGGTCCCAGGCAGAGGTCAAAGCTGTCCCACCACTCCATGGAGTTTGAGCTACAGAACAATTTTACAGTAGGACTTATACGAGTTGATGAAAGGGGTCTTTCTTGTTTTGTTTTGTTTTCTGAGACAAGGTCTTGCTGTGTAGTCCAGGCTGGCCTCGAACTCACAGCAGTCCTCCTGCCTCAGCCTCCTGAGTGCTAGGATTACAGACCTGCAACACTGCCCAGCTCTTTTTTTCTGTCTTGGTAACCGGAATCAAAACTCTGAGCCTCGCGCTAGCCAGGCAGACGCCGGGCGCTGAGCTACATCCCAGGAGCTTTTTTTTTTTTTTCCTACTGGAGATATGGCGCAGAACTTTTGCACTGAGTTACATCCCCAGCCCTCTTCTATTTTTTATTCTGAGACAAAGTCTCCCTAAATTGCCTGGGCTGGGCTCAAACTTGCGATTCTCCTGCCTCCGTCTTCCAGCGTGCTGGGATGACAGGTGTGCGCCTCTGCACTCTGCTTCTTGCTGTTACCGAATACGGCCAGCGCTGGAGATTGCGACCTCTGGTCTAAAGCACAGGGAGGAGAAAGTGGGGGCCCTGCAGGAGAGAGATCTGTGCCTGGAGGCGACCCTGGTCCCCGTGCCCTCGTAGTGCCCGGCACTCACCGATGTAGAAGTTGCTCACCGTCCGCATCTGCTTGTGGCGGCAGATGACAAAGATGACCAGTGAATTCCCGGCCAGCCCGAGCAACATCAGCGTAGCGAAGAACAGGGGCACCAGCCAGGCGTCCAGGAGCAGCGGCGCGGGGCCCGGGCCGGCCGAGCGGTTGGCGCCGCAGCCTGGGCAGCCCGACGCGTTGACGAACGCCCCCCAGGACGCGTTGGGCGCCGGTGTGGCCACGGCGTGCATGGCCTCGCCGCTGTGCTCCTCTTCCTGCACGCCGCCCGCCTGCACCGCGTTGCCGGACGTCCGAGGGGACCGCAGGGGATGCGCTTGCAGCTCCCTGGCAGGGTGCTGGGCGGCGCGGCTGGGCTCCACGGCTCCTTAGAGCGCAGCGCCCGGCGTTTATACAGCTCGCCCCG